TATACATACTAGGCAAGTACTCTACCACTAAGCCACATTCCTAGCCCTCTAATAAACTTTTTATTTAATTAATTTTTTTTTGTCAGTTGTGGGACCTGAACTCTGGGCCTGGGCACTGCCCCTCAGCTCTTCAGCTCAAGGGTAGCTAGCTCTCTTGAACCACAGTGCCTCTTCTAGCTTTTTCTGCTTATGTGGTGCTGAGGAATTGAACCCAGGGCCTCATGAATGCAAGGCAAGCACTCTACTACTTAGCTATCTTCCCAACCCCGACTTTTTTTTTTCAATCATTTTTACTTAGAGTGAAAGAAGCTATATTCTCTGGAGTCAATGTGGTGGTAACAGCAGGTCATGGAGTGAGAGACTCTTCAGCAGATGGTGAAATTCAGGGTTAGATAGAAGTGGATGCCACTTAAACAGTCCTTACCATTGCACTTCCAATTCCCTAATAAACTCTTCTTGTACTGATACTTGAAGGATCTGGGGTTTGTTATTAAAGGTTGGCACCAAAATCTCTTATTCATACCCTCTTTCTTATATTCTTAGTTGATTCAACAAACATTTATGCACCACAGATACTATATTAGGGACTATGAATACAGTTGTGAAGGGCATTCAAAGTTCTGCCCTTATAAAGTATACATTGTAGCTGTTCAGACTTACAATCAAACCAACAGTGTGAATTTGGAAAAAAAAGAGAAAACTATGTTGATTAGTAGGAAGTCTAGAACCATACATAGAAGGGTTCAAATATTGGCTTGAACATATATAGTTCTGTGAACACAGTAAATTGCTCAGCCCCTTTTTAGTCAACTTATTCGTTAAAATGTATTTAAATACCATCTATTTCAAAGAATTATCAAACAATTCACACAACAAACATTTACTGATCTATCACTATGTGATAGATTCTAGGAAATATTCTAGAAAATAGATTTTTAAAAACCCTGTCTTCCTTCTCTTGTGTGGAGGCAGACAAATAACAAGTAGGTAAATATCTGGAGTAGTCAACACTAACGAAGAGCTAGAGAATATGACACAGTAAAAAGGACCAGGGAAGCCAATGGGGGATAGAATGAGAATTTTAAATGGCGTGGTCAGGGAAGGTGGCATTTTGGCTAAAGTCTGAAAAGGTGAGGAAGTAAACAAATTCTAGAGGTATTTGGGGGAGGATTATTGCAGATAAGGGGATGAGAAAATGCCAAGAGTCCAAGACAAGATCTTTGATATTTAAGGCACCCAAAAAAATGGAATCCAATAGGAATAATAAAGGAAAAGGACAATAGTGGGATTTAGAAAATGAGAATTTATATAAGTTAGTTCCTAAGCTTAATCTTTACCTTGGAAAGATCGAGTCACATTCTAAGAGAAAGAAATAGCCACTACAGAGTTCTGATACAGAAGTGATAAGGTCTAACTTGTGTTTTAACAGGATCATTTTGGTTCCATGTGGAAGTGGATTGTATGAATTAGATCTTAAGTGTCTTTATCCCACAGAGGCTGTGTGTTGAAGGCTTGGCAACCAGCTGATGGTACTGTTGGAAGGTATTAGAACTTACAGGGGTGGGAAACCTCCAGTATGGCCAAATAAGGCCCATGGAATCATCTGGTACATGGATGAGATAGATACATATGCTTCTTGTCTGCTGCCTAGGGCTGTCTGCCTGTAGTGATAATTTAGTATGACCCTTGAATGAAGTTATAAATACCAAAATGGCCCTTGGCAGAAAAAAGATTTCTCGCCCCTGTGGTGGTAGCAGCAGGTCTTGCAGTGAGACTCTGCAGGAGATGAAGAAATTCAGAGCCACTTAAATAGTTCTTCCTAGTACACTCCATTCCCTAATATTTTTCTAATACTGATACTTGAAGGACACTTCTAGTACTGATATCTGAAAGGTAGGGTCTCAGTAGAAAAGAGTCAGATCACTAGGGACATGGCATGGCTTTGAAAAGGATACTGGGACCCCAGGCCCTTCTGTCTCTCTTTGCTGTCAAGCTGCCAAGAGGTGAGCAGCTTTCTCCACCATGTGCCCCTTTATCATGACATGTCATCAACACAGGCTCAAAGGAACAAGGCTGAGTGAAATCACAGGCAAAACTAAACTTTCTTCCTCTTCCCCTCCACCCCCCCGGCCCCGCCCCACAGTAATAGGGACTGAACTCAGGGTTTACAACTTGAGCTACACCTCAAGTCTTTATCTGGGCAAGTCTTGGACCATGATTCTCGCATCTTTGCCTTCTGGGTAGCTGAGACCACATGTAGGCACTATCCTATCTGCCTTTTGTTTCTGGTGCCAGTTCTGGGGCTTGAACTAAGGCCTCACAGTCTCACTTAACTTTTTCACTCAAAACTAGTTCTCTACTGTTTGAGCCACACTTTCCCTTCTGGCTTTTTGCTGGTTAACTGGTTAGGAATCTCAGACTTTTCTGTCCGGGATAGCTTTAAACTATGATCCTCTGATCTCAACCTGTTGAGTTGGTAAGATTAAAAGCCTAAGCCAGGGCCGGGCTGTAATCCTAGCTACTCAGGAGGCTGAGATCTGAGGATCGTGGTTCAAAGCCAGCCCGGGCAGGAGAGACCGTGAGACTCCTATCTCCAATA